CCCAAGAAAGCAGCGATCCCCCCATGACGAAGGTCTGTACATGTATAAATATATGTGTGTGTGTGTTTGTGTAAGTAGATCATGCCTTGCTCACACACGTGCTGACATGTGTGGAGTATTGGTCATGTATACACAAACAAGTCCAATTGCTATACTCTGGGGGGGGGGTTGGGGGAGGCGTTTCCTCCCAGCTGATGTCAAGCTTCCGGCAACCCCAAGGAAGTGCTGACATGTGGGGAGGATTGATCATGTATATTGGTAGACTCTGGGGTGGGGGTGTTGGGGGAGGCGTTTCTAAGTGTTCACCCCCAGCTGATTTCAAGCTTCCGGCAACCCCAAGAAAGCACCGATGCCCCCAGGATGTGTATATATATATATATGTGTGTGTGTGTGTGTAAGTAGATCATGCCTTGCTGACGCAGTGCTGACATGAATGGAGTATTGGTCATGTATACACACAAACAAGTCCAATTGGTAGACTCTGTTGGGGAGGCGTTTCTAAGTGTTCACCGCCCAACTAATTTCAATCTTCCAAGCTTCCGGCAACCCTAAAGAAAACACCGATGCCCCGGGGACGAAGATATATATATATATATAATTATATACATATGTGTATGTAAGTAGATCATGCCTTGCTCACATAGGTGCTGACCTACATGGAGTATTGGTCATGTAACATATACACACGTACAAGCCCAAGTGGTTGAATCCGGGCGGGGGGGGGTGTTTCTAAGTATTCACCGCCCGGCTGATTTCAGGCTTCCGTACGTATGCGTGTATGTAAATACATCATGCCTTGCTCACACACGCACTGACACATATGTAGTATTGGTCATGCGCATGCACAGACAAGCCCCATTGGTAGAATCCCAGCTGATTTCAAGCCTCCGGCAACCCCAAGAAAGCACCGATGCCCCGAGAAAAATATATCTATATATATATAAATATGTGTGTGTAAACAAATCATGCCTGATTCACACAGTGCTGACATGTCTGGAGGTATACACACAAACAAGTCCAATTGGTAGACTCTGGGGAGGGGTTGGGGGAGGCGTTTCTAAGTCTTCACCCCCAGCTGATTTCAAGCTTCCGGCAACCCCAAGAAAGCAGCGATCCCCCCATGACGAAGGTCTGTACATGTATAAATATGTGTGTGTGTGTGTTTGTGTAAGTAGATCATGCCTTGCTCACACAGTGCTGACATGTATGGAGTACTGGTCACGGGGGTTCGGGGTGGCGTTTCTGTGTTCACCCCCAGCTGATTTCAAGCCTCCGGCAACCCCAAGAAAGCACCGATGCTCCCAGGATGAAGGTCTATATATATATAAATATGTGTGTGTTTGTGTAAGTAGATCATGCCTTGCTCACGCAGTGCTGACATGTATGGAGTATTAGTCATGTATACCCACAAACAAGTCCAATTGGTAGAATCTGGGGGGGGGGGGGGTTGGGGGATGCGTTTCTAAGTGTTCACCCCCAGCTGATTTCAAGCTTCCGGCAACCCCAAGAAAACAGCGATCCCCCCATCACGAAGGTCTGTACATGTATAAATATATGTGTGTGTGTGTGTTTGTGTAAGTAGATCATGCCTTGCTCACACAGTGCTGACATGTACGGAGAACTGGTCACGGGGGTTCAGGGAGGCGTTTCTAAGTGTTCACCCCCAGCTGATTTCAAGCCTCCGGCAACCCCAAGAAAGCACCGATGCTCCCAGGATGAAGGTCTATATATATATATGAATATGTGTGTGTTTGTGTAAGTAGATCATGCCTTGCTCACACAGTGCTGACATGTATGGAGTATTGGTCATGTATACCCACAAACAAGTCAAATTGGTAGACTCTGGGGGGGGGGGGTTGGGGGAGGCGTTTCTAAGTGTTCACCCCCAGCTGATTTCAAGCTTCCGGCAACCCCAAGAAAGCAGCGATCCCCCCATGACGAAGGTCTGTACATGTATAAATATATGTGTGTGTGTGTGTGTGTTTGTGTAAGTAGATCATGCCTTGCTCACACAGTGCTGACATGTATGGAGTACTGGTCACGGGGGTTCGGGGAGGCGTTTCTGTTTTCACCCCCAGCTGATTTCAAGCCTCCGGCAACCCCAAGAAAGCACCGATGCCCCGAGAAAAATATATCTATATATATAAATATGTGTGTGTAAGTAGATCATGACTTGCTCACACAGTGCTGACATGTCTGGAGGATTGGTCATGTATACACACAAACAAGTCCAATTGGTAGACTCTGGGGAGGGGTTGGGGGAGGCGTTTCTAAGTGTTCACCCCCAGCTGATTTCAAGCTTCCGGCAACCCCAAGAGAGCACCGATGCTCCCAGGATGAAGGTCTATATATATATATGAATATGTGTGTGTTTGTGTAAGTAGATCATGCCTTGCTCACACAGTGCTGACATGTATGGAGTACTGGTCACGGGGGTTCGGGGAGGCGTTTCTGTGTTCACCCCCAGCTGATTTCAAGCCTCCGGCAACCCCAAGAAAGCACCGATGCTCCCAGGATGAAGGTCTATATATATATATATAAATACGTGTGTGTTTGTGTAAGTAGATCATGCCTTGCTCACTGTATCGAGTATTGGTCATGTATACCCACAAACAAGTCCAATTGGTAGACTCTGAGGGGGGGGGGGGGTTGGGGGAGGCGTTTCTAAGTGTTCACCCCCAGCTGATTTCAAGCCTCCGGAACCCCAAGAAAGCACCAATGCTCCCAGGATGAAGGTCTATATATATATATAAATATGTGTGTGTGTGTGTGTGTGTTTGTGTAAGTAGATCATGCCTTGCTCACACAGTGCTGACATGTATGGAGTATTGGTCATGTATACCCACAAACAAGTCCAATTGGTAGACTCTGCGGGGGGGGGGGGGTTGGGGGAGGCGTTTCTAAGTGTTCACCCCCAGCTGATTTCAAGCTTCCGGCAACCCCAAGAAAGCAGCGATCCCCCCATGACGAAGGTCTGTACATATATAAATATTTGTGTGTTTGTGTAAGTAGATCATGCCTTGCTCACACAGTGCTGACATGTATGGAGTATTGGGCATGTATACCCACAAACAAGTCCAATTGGTAGATTCTCAAAAAAGAAGCGGGTTGAAAAAACCGTTTCTATTTGTTCGCCCCCAGCTGATTTCAAGCTTCCGGCAACCCCACGAAACCGTTTCATTAACCTTATGATTTGTTTCATTATTGTCCACGGTGTCGCGCAGTTTTTTCCTGTTGTTTTCTGTTGAAACAAGGGAGGGATGAACACATGATGAAAAACAGATGATGTTCATGGGAAGTTCTGAAAACAAAAAATGCCAGCAAATCATAATTTGTTTATCATTGTTCATTGTTTCATCATTTGCATACTGTGCTCATATTGGTTCATCATTGTTTCATCATCTCGTCACTTGTTTATCCTTTTTTTTGTAAACTCGTTGTTTTTTCGTGATTTGTAGGTTGTCTTTTGTCTGGCTGCCCGAAGATCTCTTAAGTCTATCATGTGTGCTGTGTGCCTGATTCATTGTGTATATATATATAGTTAGTTCCGCTGTTTTTTTCTTGCATGGTCGGCTCTTTTCTCTCTCGGGGCAACGCCCGTGACCAATGCTTAGAAGCCGCAGGTACCTCTCGGGCAACACTTAGAAACGTTTCTAAGTTTTTGACGGCTGGTAATATGCATCAGAATCGCCATAAAGGCGAAGAAAAGGTTTCTAAGTGTTGGTCGGCCGAACCGTTTCTAAGTGTTGAATTTACTGTTTTTATTTTTTTCGTTTCTAAGTGTTTGTCGGAAATTTTGGAAACCAAAACTGTTTCTAAGTGTATGTCCGTCACTATACTTGAGATGCATTGTTTCGTCACGTTCTCCGATTCACGGCCTGACCCTAGGTGTTTCCAGAATCTATGGACCGCCTTTTGCTCATGTTGTTTCAGGGGGGTCAAAAGGAGGTTGGCTCATACGCGTTGGGGCTTGGTCTTTGGGGGTGACAGACCTCAAGCCTTCACAACCCCCAAAATGGCGGGGATTCCTTTCTCACTTTTTCCTTTACACCAGCCCCCAAAAAGCTGGCACCAACTCCAAAAAACCGACAGAGCCATGTCCCTCGTCGCCACGTTGCCCCATGAGCGTCGATCCAGGTGAGTCACAATCAAAACCCGGGCAAGTGAAGGCTAGTTAAGGACAATCCCAACCATAAATAGCTGCGGCCGCCTTCTCAATTCTTTACATGGTTCTGGGTGGGCCATTTTAATTGTGGCTCAAACGGGTCAACATGTCCAATTAAAACCACCAGAAATGGGAGGAGCATGAGAGGAGCATGGGTTTTGCTTACAGGTGACCTTCTTCGCCTGCCTCTTCGCCACCGTGGCCCTGCCCGCGGCGCTGCTGGTGCTGGGGCCCCTGGACACCTCCTGCGCGCGGCTGATGCCCTGGGCCAAGAAGCTGCGGCAGCGGGCGAAGCGAGCGGCTCGGCCGAGGAGCCCAAAAAGCGACTCCGGCCAACAGCCGCTTTTGGATCCTCAACGCTTTTTCTGGGGGAAATGGGTGTGAGAACCCACCAAAAGCCCAAGACCCTCAAGCATTTTATTTGTGGCGAGAAAAGGGAAGCCACGTGGCATCATGGGAAACCCTCCACTTCGCAAAAACAACTTGCTTCGGAGTCCACCTTCAGTTAGTCAAAAATTGGAATTCTGGGCGAGTATGGATTACATTTTGTTGGCAGTAGGCAAGCAGTTGGTTCCAGCTGTACTGTCTGACCTTTCTTTCCTGGGATCCTGGCGGCGGCGTGCAGATTTTAGGGCTCTGTTGCCCCCCTTTCTTCACGGTTGACTTGTCACAGACTAGTTTATCTCAGCTTTCTCTCTGAATTCAAGGATGGGAGTCCCCCCAAATATGGCTATATTTACCAACAGGAGGTGCAGCCCGCTTGTTGGGCTTTCTCTTCTTTTGGTACCAGGTTAGAACAAGGGAGGCCCGGCACATTGTCTTGTCCTTTTTGTTGGGGTCCTCGTTTGATGTCTTTGTCAGCACGACTTTTGCTTCATTTATTCGTCGTGTGGAGGTGATCTGTTGTTGGTGTCTGTGTTTGGGGTGGGTTCCCTTTGAAGTGTCAAGGTTCCTTTTTGGCTGGGATGCTAGTTTCACAGGGCGTCTTTAAGTGAGACTCGACAAACTCTTGCGGCTGCAGACCGCACATAGGCTCCCCGGGCGCCTGTTCGCTGTCTCTTGGGGCAGGAAACCCCAATTCCCCAATGGAGTTGCCCTTCCTTAAGCCTGTTTTTTTCTCGCGGGGGGCCGGGGTATGCTGAGAAGCCCCCTGTGATTTCAACCGCGCAGAAGGGGCACGCGAGCGGCCAGCGGGTGGCTCCCTGAAACGCAGTAAGGAAGCCAAGGAGGGCACGCACCGGTCGGCCAACGCCAGGCGGGGTGTGTCTTCTTTCAGGGGACCCTCAAAACTTGCTGGCGCTCAGAACATAAACCCAGGGGTCTCCTCAAAGGAAACCACCAGTTGGATGTTTTTGTTTTTTTTAAATCAGACATCGGGTAGCCTCGAAAAGACACATCCACATGTAACGTGAAGTGGCCGGCGGAGAGAGGCCGCGTTGGTTCAAGTTTGGCTTGGCTTTTGGCAGCTTCAACAGGCTCGCAGTTTGGCCACCCCATGCGGCGAACCCTATGTGGCGGCCATGGTTCCACATGTTCTCCGTCCAAACGAGATCTCATGCGCGTCGCCGAAGCATTCTTTGTGCGCAAGCTTGTCGCATTTGTTGCTTACTTGTGCACATTGCCAGCGGGGCAGGTTGACATCGAATGGCCGATTCCTTGGGCTTGAGGGGGCTTTTCCGATCGACACTGCTTCTTGCAAAGCAGGTCCTCAATTCAACGGAAGCCAACCAACCATAAAACAGCTTACAAGCAATCAAAGAAGCAAGTGGACGGGCAGGTGGTCAGTGAGTCAGGCTTTCAAGCAAGCAAGCCCAGCCCAGAGCCAGAGCAGGATCACTACGACCTTGGCCAAGAAGATCCCCTTGGACAGCGGCACGTCCACCAAGACGGAGATCTTCTTGTCCAGCTCCCCACGCGCCTTCAGGCACGCACGGCCGAGCTCTTGCTGGGTGGTTCCGGGCCATCCCTTAGGCTCTTTCGACGAACTCGATTTCATCGAGTTCAAGAGCCTATGTTTATAGAAACTGCTTAGTTCCTGAGTTCCGGCACTTTAAAGCTTTTTGGGAAGACCATTTTAGTGATAAATGAAAGCAACTTGGGCCCATCCACTCAGAAAGTGAGACTATGAATACCTGAATAATTACACATTGATTGTACAGATCGGCGGAATTTATGACACATCCCACCAACAGATTATCTTTTAGCAAGGCACTTTCTGGGAGTGGAATTTCCGTTCAGTGGTACTCCTGGTTGGACGGCCCACTGTGGCATGTGATGCCAGGGGGGTCCCTTTTGAGCATGATGCAGCGGGGGGGGGGTCAAACCTTGTCCATCAAAACAGCAATCATCCATTAACATGAGACAGCGTGGGGACAGAAAGGGAATGGACCGTACTGTCATCCGGGGTTTTCCCAATGAGTCATGTTTCTCGGCCAATGGTGGGTTGTTCATTCAACCAACCCTCAGCGTGGAAGTTGGCCGAACGCTTAGGCCGGCCTGGTCTCCAACATGATTTTGTATTCGAGTGCAGGTGAAATACCGGTGTCTTTTTTTGGTGTTGGTACCCTTTTTGGGTTGGTTTTGTGGAGACACCCAAAGGAACCAAGCATTATTTGGGGGTCTAAATAAAGAATGACGAGCCCGTATGACCTTCCGACTCCGTAGAAGGTCAAGTCCTGAAAACAAGAGACACGCCTTTGACGTTCGGAATCCGTAAGTCGGATTTTCTCAGTTGTTCAAAGCCAACCTTTTGACCTTTTGGTTTTCCCATCTTGGTCCATATTTAATGATGGCCCCCAAAGGTTAACCTTTCAGTTCCAGGTCCTTTGGGCAACTGAGATTTTCCTTTGCTCCCGGCTCCTAGGTCCGGTTGTGTGGCGCCGGCGGTGGTGGGCAGCCGCTCGAGCCAGGCCTTCCTTGGCTGGGGCGGCGCCCAGGAGAACACG